GGGGGAGCTCTAGCTAGGGGAGCTCTAGGACCCGTACATTTTCCAATACATTAAAAAAAAATAAAAGCACGACTAACTTTTATTAATCTCCAACTATTTATTTTTTAAAAAATAGGGGGGGAGTTCTAGCTAGGGGGAGCTCTAGTACATCCTGGCCATAGGCAGTTTCGCATTTTATTCTTCAGTTCATCTCTAAATTTTGCAAGTTGCTGTGCTGTTATTTCAGTGCGCTGGTACTTTGTTGGGCGTGGGTCAAATGTTACCCTCCTCTGAAAATACTGTGGCTTTGCTTTGTATTTTCCTTGTGATGTCACAAAGTCTGGATTGTTACCTGGTGCTTTTGACAACCACCAGCATGGTCGTCCTGTTGCAGTAATAGCTGTAACAGATAAATTAATTTAGTATTTTATTTTTACAGGAACCGAAACAGTTCAGGGACCTAGAAATTCAGTGCACAAGGCCACCGCTTTCATATGAAGCGTGCAAAAGAAATGGCGATGAGGATTTTTTATTCTACACAGGCTTGACACCAGATGCTTTTGATGAACTGTACAACTTCCTTGGTGGTGATGAAGAGTGAGTGTGAGGCTCTGAAATACAATTATAAAGCTACTCCCAAGAGAACAAGAGAAAGTGAATTCACCGCCAAAGACAAATTGTTTATGACTTTAATTAGACTTAAAAGAGGATTCACCTTAAAAGACATGGAGTTGTTATTTGGTGTAGAGTATCAATACATCAGCCCAATATTTTACATCTGGATGAGGAAAATGAGCCTGGACTTCAAAACTCTACAAAGTCATATCTTTGTCAGTGCTAGAAGTCAGAGTAAAAATCCTCCTGATTGTTATGCTCCATTTCCAAATGTGAGTTGTGTTATTGACTGCACAGAGTTCAAAACCCAAGTTCCAGAAAATTTGCAGCAAGCGAGCAACATGTACTCTCAGTACAAAGGCGGAGAAACTGTAAAAGCGCTCGTTGCAACCTCTGTGTACGGTGGCCTCTGCCTCTGCAGTGAAGCTGCAGAAGGCAGCATATCAGACAGGAAATTGTTATTGAAGAGTGGCCTCCTTGATTTGATGAAGCCTGGTGATGCCATTATGGCTGACAAGGGGTCTGATATTGAAGCAGACCTGAATGAAAGAGGTATAGATCTGCTCATTCCCAGTTTCCTCGGAGCGCGACAAAAGTTTTCTCAGAGAGAACTGATCCTCAACAAAGCTATTGCGACAGCAAGAGTACACGTTGAGCGGTTTTTTTGGCTGATTGGCTGAGCGATTAGCGAAGCCTATTACTCCGTCTGGTCGGAAAAAAACTTTGTCTGTCTGTCTGTCTGTCTGCACGTCTGTCTGTCCGCACGATAACTCGAGAAGGAATTGAGCGAGCGACCTGGGATTTTCAGGGTAGTTTCGTACCATCAAAAGACAGGTCGAGTTCGAAGATGAGCATTCTAGCTCAAAAATTGGATTTTTAAAATATCAAAAACAACGGGTCCGAAAAATGACGTTTTTTAAAAATATTTTTTTATGGTTTCCTAGGGGGTAACACATCAAAATAGAGCCCTGTGGGCGAAAATTTTGTCCGTTTTGCTCTAGCTCAAACCGTTAAGGCGCTAGAGGGTATTTTTGACGAAAATAAGCGAAAAAATACAAAACTCTGCATGCTTAGTCGAGGTGATTGGCCGTTGACGGGCCGAAGGCCCGTTCCTTTGTGTACATTTTCCCACTACGCGACTTGGGTGTCAGCGCCGCAGGCCAAGGTAGATATATGCCAGGCGCGTCGCAGCGTAACAGTGTTTCGTGAGATATCGCGAAGCCTGTTACGCGAGACGTGGTCTGGCGTACATCTACCTTGTAAGTATTTGAAAGATTTCAGATTTCTTAGGTACCAGATACCAAATACAGTTCTGGATATCACACCTGATATTATTCGTGTTTGCTGTCACCTGGTGATGTTTAGGGACCCATTCATTCAGTGGCATCCCACCAGTGCATTCAAAAGGGCAGGCTGTTGCGGCTACTTCCTCCTTCCATGTTAAAGCATAGGCGCCAAAAAAAGAAGCCCGCAACAGCCTGCCCTTTTGGATGCACTGCATCCCACTGAGAAGAGCACAGGAAAACAACAGAAGACCAAGAAAAAAGATCGAAAGAAGACTTAGTTTATCCTAGTGGTGTTGCAATCTAGTTGCAGCTATTTCTTTCATTTTGAGGAAACTACTTTTATATTTAAATTTGAAATATGTTCTCATTCTATGTGGTGTACAAATATAAATTATGAAGAGACAGCATGCTTTTGATCTCAACTCACCTTCATTCCCATTTATTTGCACATGTTCTGCCACAAGTAAGAGAACTGCTGCTATATGTCCACAGCGTCTGAGTGAGGAGGCTTTGCATGAGCAAGTGGCATCACAAATGTCTCCATTATTGACAGAAATAGTGGCAGTAACAGAATGAAGTTGTTTCAGAAATGATGCATGGACCTGAGACTTCAGGAAGTAGTGTTCTCGACGCTTAGCGTCCATCACTGACAACACTCTGCCAGAGCGTAGGTACTTCCTACCCCTACTTACACACATCAACACAGAGCTCTTTAGCAGAGATCACTGAAAGTAGCTTTCTTAAATCTTTCCTGAGAACAGAAATCATCATCAATGTCACTGTCAGATTCTTCCATTGCCATCAGGACACCATTCGTCTTGCTGAGATTGACCTTTGGCAAATTGCCAAAGTAATCTGTCAACTTGTTTTCGTTGAACATGTCTGGACTCGCTGTGCTCTTCTTGTGTAGAATGTGGTACCTCTGAGACCCTTTTAAACGTTTCGACACCCGCACTGCGCCCGCGTTGGGTAAATAAGTAATTATAAATGGTGCTGAAGTGAGCTGAGTGTTTAGGGCATCGTATTAGATCTCTTCGGTGTTATAATCTGGGCAGCCGCTCTAAATACCCTCTCGCTATCGGCACTGGAAGCTGGAGAGAATCATTCTGACGACTC